ACTTCCCTGGGGTACTCCAAGGTTATTGCTACCCATTGTACTGGAAACAGTATCATTAAAAACAGTCCGTTAAGTTCTGTCAGACAAATAGATTTTTAAACTCTCTTTAGAATTTCCTTGGAAGTTTCCTCAAAATTCCCAGGAGCACTACTCAAAATTTCTTCGGCAATATGCTCAACGTCTTCCCCTGAATTATCCTCGTAGGAACCCTTCCGGATATTTCTTGGAATTCTCTCTAAAGTTCTATTACTTCTCTTAGATTTTATTAAGTATATTTAGGACTAGACTCCAATGGAACTATTACCGATTTTCCCTTGGCGCTCTCCTTGGTTGGTTGATTGATTACGCTTAATAGATTTTCGGACAAAAGATTCACTTAGGATGCTGCCTGGAACTTCTTCAAATTTACTTTAGAATTCCAGGAAATTCTATTGATAGTCCCGATAATAGTCGCCTCAGAACAACCTTTCCTTTATCCACATTAATCCGGACACCTTCAAATCACTGTAACTTTTGAAATATTGCACGTAGGAGTGAAAAATTTCGCTGTGGTATAGCTGGGAGTCATTGATGAAAAAGACTATGATTGGTGTTTACATTCCCTGTTTTTAGTGTTCAAGATGGTGACGAATGAAAAACACATGCGGATTTTGTACGGACGAAATGCAAATCCTGACTTGTCGATACGGAATCTTGCAAAAAAAATTGATTTACCTAAATCCACTGTTCACGGTGTGCTCAAATCATTTTCGGAACGTTTGACGGTCAGGAGGAAACCGCGAAGTGATAAAAACATTGGACGTGCTGACCCTGTCATGGACCGAAAGGTGAAGAGGATATTGAAGGAAAACCCGAATCTCTCTGTTCGAACGGTGGTTCGTAAATTAGAAATGTTTCCTGGTTTAGTCCAAAAATCAAAACAGCGTTTGGGCTGAAGTCGTATAAAGTAAAAACAGTTCCATATCGCAACGGCAAACAGAATTTGACAGTAAAAGCACGGGCTCGACGTTTGTACTGCGAATATTTGACGAAATGTTGTTGTTATGGACGATGACCCTTATGTCCTGGAGGATTTCAAGTAGCTTCCAGGGCTGGCTTTCTATTCTGCTATGACCCAAAATGCTACAACTGAGTATTTCAGGACGAACAAGGCATCGAAATTTCCCAAAAAATACCTTATTTGGCTATCAATTTGCACGTGTGGCCGAAAGAGTAAATCTTTCGTCACTACACAATCAACAAGGAGATTTACCAGAAAGATTACCTGCAGAAGCGATTGCTACCCTTCATCAAAAGCCACAAAGAAAACCCCTTGTTCTGGCCCTATTTGGCATCATGCCATTATGCTAAAACTGTGATGGAGTGGTACGAAGCAAATCAAGTGAATATTGTACCACAAACTGCAAATCCGCCAAATTGTCCAGAGTTACGTCCAATCGAGAGATATTGGGCTCTGATGAAGCAGAAGCTTTCTGGAAAGAAACAAGGAATACAAGATATCAAACACTTCCAACAAATTTGGACAAAGACGGCCACCACCGGTATCTGAGGAGTCTGTACAAACCCTAATGGGATGTAGTTAAGCGTAAAGTTCGAAAATTTATGATTGCAAAATTTCCTTGGATTTCACATCAGAATTGCATGGGAATTTTCTTCAGAATTCCCTTGGAATTCTTCTCAAAATGGCGTTTAGAGAATCTCGTATGGAAAACTCCAATGTGAGATCCAGAGTAGGATTAAAAGTAAATTTCCAAGAGAATTCTTTAAAGCATTCCAATGCAATTCCAAAGAGAGCTCTGACTAAAACTGCCGAAGAGTTTTGAGGAGTCTTTTCTACGGGATTTTTTTAAGAAACCTGTAAGTGAATTCTAATGAGAACTTCAAGGTACTCGGTAGTAGAATTTCAAGAGAAGAAGAAGAATCCAAAGGGAATTCTGAAAATAATTCCAAAAGTACTATTAGGAGTATTGCAAAGAAGTTTTAAGGAAAGTTTCAAGGACATATCCAACGAAGTTTTGGGGAAATTTTGAAAAGAATACTTTACTATAATTTCAAGATTGTACCTGTAGGGGTCTGCCTTAGCTCAGTCGGTAAAGACACAGCTACAAAGCAAAACCATGGTGGAGGGGGCTGGGTTCGATTCCCGGTCCGATCTAGCAATTTTTCGGGTTGGAAAATTTCTCAACTTTCCTGGGCATAGAATATGATTGAACTTGCCACACAATTATATCAATGCAAAAATGGTACAGGCATCGAAATCTCTCAACTAATAACTGTGTAAGTGCATCTAGAACACTAAGTTGAGAGTACGCAATAAGCTTATATTCGATTAGCAATAATTTTGAAATGCGAAGAAGAAGAACCTGTAATCAACTTTCGAGAACCCAAAGAACTGTTTCTAAGGAATTCTAGAGGACCTCTTCAAGAAATTCATGGATCCACTCCAAGAGAACGCAATATAAAGGGAGTTCCGAAGATTGTTCCATGGGAATTTTAGAAAAAAAAACACTTAGCGAATACTGAGGAGAGAAATTTTCAGGAGAATTCTTTGGATATTTGCTAGGTAAAACAGCGAGAATCGTCAGTCATTTTATGAGAATTGCAGGGTGAATCAAAGAGTGTTCTATAGAGAATTTTTAAAGTATTATCGAGCAAATTGTAAGGGAATACCTAAGATGAACTTTGAGGAAATTTTTAGTTGATTCTAAGGAAATGCTTGATTCAAACACAGAAATTTTATCGAGATCGCAGAAAAAAAAACGAAATTGATTTCTGAGCTGAACGCATTACCTTAGAATAGGTCTTGGCTATCTGAACAACGTTGTCCAAGACAGAAACCTTTTTTCTAGTCCATATGTTAAGTTCGGGCAAATAATGACAATTAATGTTACACTAATGCCGCATGGTGAGTGAATTCTGAACTAAACTCTTTTCCTTAAGATAGGTCTTTTGAACAACTTTGTTGAAGACGGGAACCATCCATATGAACAGGATCTGTAGATAGCGTTATGTAAGGCTTAATTTAGATAACGCAACTTGATTATATTCGTTTTAGCGCAAATTAGTAAGTAAATTCTGTGATATACTCTCCATAGTTTTGAAGACCTTGTACTCCTAAACATCTTTGCAGAAGGAAGCAACATCCTATATGGTTGAGATCTCGTGATATGAACATTATATTTTAAAATAAAAGTCTGATATTTTAAACTGGAAGTCCACTAAAATTAATTTGCAAAAAAATAAGAAATCCGTTGAAATTCCGTTAAGATACGGCAATTTTAATTTGAGGTCAAATTGACACCAGGGTACAGACAACGAAGTATTTCAATAAAAAATATTGTTTCAAGTTTTTTGGAGCAGATTTCATTTAGTACTACAAAGCTTCGGTCGACGCACCTAGTCCCGAGAGAATTAGTAAAATCCAGTGATGGCATAATCATGAGCAAATTGATATTCGTCCGCTCTCATACGCTCTCAATCTCATGCGTGATATTGGAGCAAAATATCATGCTTGATATCTATTTTCCAAGCTCCTTTGATATATAGTTGAATCGACACAAAAATGATTCCGTTGCACCTCGTTCTCTCAGAAAGAGAAGGTATTGATATTGCGATATCGACCGCTGCTATTTGTATGTTGATTTTTGTCTACGAAAATCAAGCGTGATAATGTTCTTTGGTGAGATTATATTTTTTTTATATATTCCCAACACTGGTAAAATCCATCGACAAATAAAAAAAAGTTACAGCCATTCAACGTGGCCTGGGGTCCAATTTATCCCAAGATACAGATAAAGATTAAGTTTGTCGAAATTGCTTAAGAGTTGTTTTAGAATTCTCTGGCATTCTACTCATAATCCCGGTAGTAGTATCTTCGAAACAACTCTGAAATTCGCCTTTAGTTCTAATGACAATTATCTAGAAATGCTTATCAAAATTACCTGGAACTTCTAGTCAAATTCCTTTACAATTGTCCTCAGAATTCCTAAAGAATCTGCATTGTAGAGCACTACAATGCTCATCAAAACTGATTCGGGATTCTTATCCAAATTTACCATTTTGTTTAACCAGTGATCTTGAAAATAACGGCATATTTTAAATTTAGTTTTTTTATTCAGACTGAAAAGTGCACAAGAGATTGGAAAACTGGCCTAGCCTCAAATGTTATCATTAAAAACATCCTTCTATGAATCTATCACGTACGGTCAAATGACCTGGCATAGTATAGCTACATAATTCCGTTTTCTTAATCCCTTTTTGTAAGTAAATACTTTAAATTTAAAAATGCGATTCCTCCTGTAAGCATTGCTCTAAGTTGTAATATTTGATAGAATCCATAAAACCATTGTCTGTGATCAGTTCCAAATTACTTTCAAATCGAATTCTGAAAATTTATCTTTCGACATGTGATACCTCCTCCTCCGAGTCAATTCAAACCCTGCTCAGAATAATGGTCCAAATCGATTCCATTGTGTGCTGCATAAATGTGAGCTCCCAGAAAAAAAATTAATCGAATTCGACTAGCTGCATTATTGATTCCCCTTCGATTCCATTGGAGAGCGAGCCTCTAATACATTTCTCAAAACTCAATTATACCCAATCAATTACATCGACCCCGGACGTACGAACCCTGGGGAATACTTGGTAGGATGTTCCATTAAATCAAACCAATTAGCGATGTCCTTTTGTCTGGTACCTACTAGATATAGGCCCGCGTACCTCAGCGCGGCAGCCAGCGGATCGAATCAATCCGTGTGAAAATTCAATCCATTCGTGTTGCTCCCCCCTCGCTGGCTCCATCCCAAAGTAGTAGTGATTGTCTTTCCCGTACATCACAATAATGATGATGGCTTTCAGTCTAATTGAATAGATATTGGTTATCGTTGCTTCCCTTATTTATTGCACTCCTAGGATTTTATTGCACACCAAATCGGCACACAATTAGTCCCCAGCATTAATTGGTTCTAATTTTTCGTTCTTTTCCATCTCTCTTTTTTTAGGCCAAAGCCCTCGGAAAGGTCCTCTTCGAGCAGGTCTGCCGTCAGTTGAATCTACTGGAGGCGGACTACTTCGGGTTGGAGTACCAGGAGGCTCCGTCCGGCACCAAGTATTGGCTGGATTTGGAGAAACCGCTAAACCGACAGGTTGGCCTATCACTCATAGAACCCATGTTGCGGTTTTGCGTAAAATTCTACACACCGGATCCACTGCAGCTAGAGGAGGAGTACACCCGGTACCTGTTCTGTTTGCAAGTCAAGCGGGATTTGGCTACCGGGAGTTTACAGTGCAATGACAACACCGCCGCCCTGATGGCTAGCTACATTGTGCAAGGTGAGTTTGGTTGACGTTCCTAATTATGCAATACTGTTCTGATCAAAATTACCTCAAAAATGGCAGCCTCTTGCGGAGATTATGCCCCGGAAGACTATCCGGACCACACGTATCTATCGTCATACCGATTTGTGCCACAACAGGATCACACCATGCAGCGGAGGATCATGGAGAATCACAAAAAACACATGTGAGTACCGCTATAAATCCACTTCTGCGTTGTTTGCCAATGTCATAATTTGAACCTTTCCCCACGCAGAGGACAATCACCGGCGGAAGCGGATCTCAACCTGCTGGAAACGGCCCGGCGGTGTGAGCTGTACGGGATGAAGATGCACCCGGCCAAGGACCACGAAGGCGTCCCGTTGAATCTGGCCGTCGCACACATGGGCATCGCCGTCTTCCAGGGAATCACTCGAATAAACACCTTCTCCTGGGCCAAAATCCGCAAAATCTCTTTCAAGCGGAAAAAGTTTCTCATCAAGTTGCATCCGGAGAACTATGTGAGTGGTGGTGCTTTGATTGACGCATTTGAGATGGTTTACTGAAGTCAGTTTGTTTTGCCCTTTGTAGATGTACCACAAGGACACGGTGGAGTTCTTCTTCGAGGGTCGGAACGAGTGCAAAAACTTCTGGAAAAAGTGCGTCGAGAACCATGGCTTCTTCCGTTGCTCTGCGGTTCAGAATGTTCAGAGGCGGAAGGCGCGGGTCCTGTCCCGGGGTAGCTCGTTCAGGTACGTAGGAATTCTTATGTACATGATATACATTGTTCACTCAGGGACTTACATATTTGTTCGAGTCGTCGGATAACGCGCACAGAAAGCACTTAACATGGGAGTACAGTACTTGTTCGCTAACTGGGCTAAAAGCGCAGTCCAGTTTGCGAATTCCACTCGCTAACTGGGCTGACTTGTCAAACGTCAAAAAACACTGATTTATATTAACACTTAATATTCCATTCGAATGCTCCTCACCAATTTTGACAACGAAATGTCAACCTAAGTGTGACGTCTATTTTTGACGTATGACTGCTTTTTAACAGTTAAAAAGCAGCCCAGTTAAAGAACGCACAGTTACTGTACTCATTCGGGAGGTACTTATTATGAGGACTGTATTTTACTTTTCACAAGGTACAAGATAATCACACGCGACGACGTGCACTTCAAACAAAAACTTCTGTTCCTGCGAAAAGTTTATTGCGGATTAAATTATGTAAAGTTCTAGGGATCTATCTAAGGACATGCGATGTTTTTCTCATCGGTTTCATACTTACACTCGGCCCTACCGTTGATCGTGAAGCGATCGATATGGGACGGGATAGATTGATAAGGAACATTGGGCAGAATAGGTCAACTATATCTCCTACTGTTCACCTACTCGGGTCCCTCATGATCGAGTGAGTGATCTTCAGGGCTGTTACAGCAGGCGCGGATTTCGCGATTTTCGCGGACTATTTTACTGTCATCAATTTTGTTGTTCATTTGGCTCTCAATTGTTTACCGGTTCAAACCAAACACCCTACAAATAATCGGGAAATGATCTCAATTCTATTAGTCACACCGGATTTTCACGGAAATTCCTTAAGGTCTGTCCAATGTGAGACATTTTCCTTTTTTCCAATGTGTACATAGCATTTTTCGTTGTCAAATCATAAACGAATCGTATATATGCGAGTAATTGCCATGTAGGGGAATTTACGTATTCTCGTCAATCTAAGCAGCGTCTGCACTTCTACTAGCATTTTCTCAGCGTCACGCACATATATGATGTGTCTGTTTGTTTACATTCATCTGCTGCTTGCTTCTCTATCCATTCCAATCGACAGAATTTTTCAAAACGTTTTGAAAGCGTTTTTACAACGCTCCAAACTTCTCAGGTGAGTGTGACTATTGTCGGCAGCCTCTTTTTCTTCGGCAACCTTCCCATTAGAACTGCGTGTTAACCAGCTGTTCTATTATCGGCAACTCGAAATCAACCCCATTTTGTAGTGCGTATGCTTTATTTGAAGAAAAATGTAGCATTACTGGATTGCTCGATCGTTCAAATATAATCAGATTGAAGCTGAAAGGCTAAACAATCGTTTGGACACTTTCAGGGAAGTGCGTTGATGGGAAAACATAGTGAAATTAACGTTTAAATTTTGGTTGCCGAAAACAGTCAATGGGTGCCGAAGCCAACATTTACCCTATATCAGATATTCTAGGTTCTCCAAATCGTCCTGGAGTTCACTTGATTTGTTCTATTATATCAATCAAGACTCCAATAATGTCTGTAGTATCGAAATATGTCCAAACAGATTCGAAGTGTCTATATGGATCGTGCCCGACCTATTGCTACGTATACAAGATGTTATAGGTTCTGAAATCATTCTGCAGATTAGATTATGTTTCTACTGCATCTCCCAAGACTAATTCAAAATCTGTAGTATCGAAATATGCCTAAACAAATTTGCAGTGTCTATGTGGATCATGCCAACCTATTTCCGTGTATGCCAAATGTTCTAGGATTTCCAAAATAATATTTCGATACTACAGATATTATCCTAATCTTTGTTGATCTAGTAAAACAAATCATCTGAACTGCAGGACGATTTGGAGAACCTAGATCATCTGGTATACGTGGAAATAATCAAACATTATCCATATAGACAATATGAATCTGTTTGGACATATTTCGATACTAAAGACATTGTCTCAATCTCGGTTGATGTAGTAGATCAAATTATCTGAACTCCAGGACGATTTGAAGAACCTTTAACATCTGGATTACTCGGAAATAGATTGAATCTGATTGGACATTTTTCGATACTACAGACATTATTGCAGTCTTGGTTGATCTAGTAGAACAAATCAACTGATGCCCTGGACGATTTGGAAAACCTATAATTTTCGGTATACATAGTAATAAGTCGTGCATGATCCACTAAGTCACATACATACGATTCTGTTATGATTTGACAACGAAAAGTGCTAGGTTCATATTAGAAAAAAAAAATAACGAAAATGTTTCACTATTGGACAGACCCCAAGGAATATCAGTGTAAATACAAAACCGCGACGTGACCAACAAGTATGACTTATGAAACTCTGGTAATTTCTCGATTATTTGCAAGGTGTTTGGTTCGAATTGGTATAAAATTGAGAAAACTAGAGCCAAATTAACTAGAACATTTAGGACAGCAAAACACGTCAGAGACGCAAAAAAGGTTAATTTTCAAGAAAATTTGCATTTCAAATGAAAATGCATTATTTATTTTTTAAATAATGATTCATCAAATCTAGGCCGGTATTACTCAATAGAATCTCATAATGTAAGGGTGTTTTATTATGTTCACTAATTACTCAGAATTTCTACTATACAATGTTATTTAAAAAACATATTTTCAAAGGTTACAAACGATACTGCTTTACTTACTTACTTAAGGGTCCTGTGCACCACCAGCGGTGCAAAGGGCCAACGTGAAAGACTTCCATCCTGGGCGGCTGCTCGCTTTTGCCTTGACCTAGGCCCAGGTCAGATTTCTATCGACTTGCTTAATTTCCTTATTGAGGCTCCGCCGCCATGAGCCCCTGGGTCTGCCTCTGCTGCGATGTCCTGCTGGATTCCAATCCAGCGCTTGCTTGCAGATTTCGTTTCCGCCCCGTCTAAGTGTGTGGCCGACCCACCTCCACTTTCGCTCTCGAATTTCTGTTGCTATCGGCTTCTGATGACATCGACGATGGAGCTCGGCATTCGAGATCCAGTTGTGAGGCCACCAGGCACAAATTATATACCGCAGGCATCGGTTGATGAAGACCTGCAGCTTTTGAGTGTTCTCCGCTGATACACACCACGTCTCGCTGGCTATAACAACACAGATTTCACGTTCGAGTTGAAAATTCGGATTTTGGTGCGTTGACTTATCTGGTTGGATCTCCATACGTTTCGTAAACTCGCAAAGGCAGCCCTAGCTTTCTTGATTCGTGCACCTATGTCGCTCTTGGTCCCGCCGTCCGACGCTATTTGGCTGCCAAGATATTGGAAACTTTCGACCTTCTCCACTGCTTGCCCCGCTACCGTAAAGTTGGAAGGGTTGCCCGTGTTGATATCCAACGATTTGGTCTTGTTGACGTTGATGGTGAGACCCGCCGCAGAGGAGCGTTTGGCTAGGTCATTGAGCTTACTCTGCATATCAGAGCGCCGTTGTGCTAGTAGAGCAACATCATCAGCCAAATCGAAGTCGTTGAGATGCTCCATGGTCATAGGCTGCCAAAGCAGCCCACGGTTCGGTACACGGTCAATTGCACCTACCATGATCTCGTCGATTACGATGAGAAACAGTAGCGGTGATAGTATACATCCTTGTCACACACCAGCGACTACCCGGATAGGGTCGGACAAGGCTCCGTTATGCAAAACTCTGCACGTGAAAGCCTCATACTGCGCTTCGATGAGGTTGACGATTTTATCCGGGACTCCCTTGCGTCTCAGGGCGCCCCACAGATTCTCGTGATTGAGACGGTCGAAAGCTTTTTCGTAGTCAATGAATACCAAATAAAGGGACTCTTGGAATTCATTGACCTGCTCCAGGATGATGCGGAGCGTGACAATATGGTCCACACAAGATCTTCCGGCACGGAATCCTGCCTGCTGCCGTCAGAGAGTCGCGTCGATCTTCTCCTGTATCCGATTCAGGATAACTTTGCACAGAACTTTGAGAACAATACACAGTAACATGATGCCTCGCCAATTGTCGCACACAGTCAGATCCCCCTTCTTTGGGATCTTCACTAAGATGCCCTGCATCCAGTCGGCCGGAAAAGTCCCAGATATTACAGAATAGTTGATAGCATGGGGTCAGCTTTGAGCATCTCTGCTGATATGCGATCGACCCCTAGAGCCTTGTTGGATTTCATGCTTCGGATAGCTGCTTCAATCTCCTGCAGTGATGGGGCCTCGGAATTGACGCGAGTGATGCGCCGCACCCTAGGCGGATCATGCCGAGATGTTGATGGCTGGTTGGCCGTCGAAACTTGAAGAAGTTGTTCGAAGTGCTCAAACCAGCGTTTCAGCTGGTCAGTGGGGTCGGTAAGCAATTGTCCAGTCGTGTCCTTCACTGGCATGCTCGGGTTCATCCTTGCTCCACTCAGGCGTCGTGAGATATCGTAGAGGAGGCGTATATCGCCAGTGTTTGTGGCTGTCTCCCCTTCGTCGGCCAGGGAGTTCACCCACGCTCGCTTGTCCCGTCTGCAAGAGCGCTTGACTTCCTTCTCTAGAGCCGAGTACCGTTGACGGGCTTCGTTCTTGGCTCCTCTGGTTCTCGCCCGCTCTATCGCGGCTTTTTGCTTCTCTACGCTCCTCAATCTTCCGCCAGGTTTCATCTGTGATCCACTCTTTCCTCTGGGTGCGCAGCTCACCCAAGTTGTTCTCGCTTGTTTCTATAAAGGCATTCTTGATGGCCGTCCATTGTTCTTCTACGCTGCCACCTTCTGAAACGTCCGCAGCTCGAGTCTCAAGTTCATGAACAAAAGACCTTTTTACCGCTGGATCTTCAAGTCGGCGTGTGTTGAACCGCCGCCCGAGTCTCTCCTCCCGTCGCTGAATCCGCGCCATGCGTAGGCGGATTTCACCGATTAGAAGGTGATGGTCAGACGCGATGTCGGCGCTGCGTTTATTCCGGACATCAAGAAGGCTCCGTCTCCATTTTCGGCTGATGCAGATGTGGTCGATCTGATTCTCGGTATGTCCATCACGG